TTCCATCAAGATAAACCTGTGCCTATATCGTTTTAATAGTCTTTTGTAACATTGTATTGGAAATATCTCCCCATGAAATAAAACACGTAAATAACAAGATATTCTTTATGTAAGATAGTAAAAACTGCTTTAGCGTTGCCCTGTCTGAAGCCGAATTCATGATATCGAGGGGAATCCCCGAAAGGACCGGATGCAGCAGCGAAGTTACCCTGAAAATCCAAAATTCCAGTTCTAGCTCCAGCAAATTAAAACTACCAACATTGTAAATTCTGGCAAAACGTGCGTTTGAAACATGAGAGCTGGATCTAAAAGCTGAAGCTGGACGTTAAGTAGGACTGGCCGGGCTCCCCCGGCGAGAGGTCCTGCAGAGTACTGCAGATGAAGCCCGTACAGAAATTGTGAGACGAACAACCCCTAATGCTGAATTCTAAGAAAAATTTATTTGTTTTCAAGGCAATTAGAGCTTCGCGGTTTTTTTTTTCACTTCAGCCTTAAATATCTCGAGTCCGCATCTCCACTCACCGCCTGTCGCCCCACAAACACCCCACACAACGTGTAACTGCCACATGTCCAGTCGCATGCGGTGAGGCGTTCCTTCATGTGGAGTTAATGGAACGTCCGTTTGTTCATCCTGTTAGTCCCAAAACGATCCCAAATTTCTTTTCTTTCATACAACGATTTAAAAAATGATCTAGAAATAGAACTGTTTTGGTCACTGGTTTTCAGGTCAACAATCCAACCATCTAGTTTGAATGGATGGCCCGTTCTGACAAATAAATTAAACAACTAAAAATAATTAAAAATGGAAAAGGTAAAAAATCGTTGAACAGGTTGACGGGTTGACCGCCCGAGTCATTGGGTTGTTGAATTTTTCAATAGTTTTTGTCAAATACCAGGTTTGGGGTAAAACGGAACCCGTTGCCTGGACATTTCCCGAGCTGAACGGTCCAACCGTTTGGGTCAACGACGGTTCAAAAACCTTGCTCGCATATTCCCGCCCCCTTAACCTCAAATTGTGTTTGACCCTGTTCTACTCTCCTTCGCCCGAACTTAGATCCAACAACATCTCCAGCATAAACGATCGCTCCGGCTATTTCACTATCACCATGGGTCACCACCACCTGTCGCCCAACACAACGTGCGACTGCCGCATGTCCAGTCGCACACAGTGGGGCATTCCCGCATGTGGGGCTAATGGGACAGTTGTTAGCTTGTCCCGTTAGCTCCAAAACGAGGCCAAACCTCCTTTCCCCCATATTCCCGCCCCCTCAACCTCAAACCAATGTTGTAAAAAATGACCCAGAAACAGAACTGTTTTGGCCACCTTTTTCCAGGTCGACGGTCCAATTGTCTAGTTCAAACAACGGGACATTCTGACAAATAAATTAAAAACGTTGTATGGGAGAAAGGAAATTTGGGATCATTTTGGGGCTAACAGGACAAGCTAACAAACGTCCCATTAGCCCCGCACGCGGGAACGCCCCACCACGTGCGACTGGACATGTGGCAGTCGCACGTTGTGTGGGGCGTTTATGGGGTGACAGGCGGTGGGGCAAAGATGCAAACTCAAATATATCGTCCTAATGTTTTGGATTTTTAATTGTTTAGCCCACCCCTAGAAATCTTAGCTCCACTTTAGGGGTGGAATGAATCATGACCGTGGATTGATGCTGCAATTTCAGATTTCTGAGGGGGAATACATTCTACTTATCCCTAATATTTTTCGATCATTGTAAATAAAAGTTATTCCTAAAAGCATTTATTTGTTTACAATGTTTTTCAATCATTGTAAACAAAAACTCCGTGGACTAATTCGACATCCGATATGATTAATTATCAATAGGATTGGATTCAGATTTTGCAATTTGCATTTGATTAATACTTAGATCAGATTTGGATTTGACTCCACTAATTCTATTAAAATCTGAGTCTGATTATATTATAATATATATTGACCTTAATATATAAAATTTATATAATTATATTTAATACTATAAAAATATATTTTATATATTATATATAAAATAAATTCAGTATGTTATGTTTACATTAATTTATTATATATAAAAATTGAAAAGTAATTAACATTTTAATTTTTTTTTAAATTAATGTTGTGATGGGTTAAATCCAAATCTAATCCGAGTCCATTGGAAATTGAATTCAAATCCGAGGTCTTCAGATTTGGTTTTTAGATCAAATTCGAATGCAAATTTTCAATAATTGGATTCAAATTTAGATTTTGTTGAATCCCATCTGAATCCAATCCATTTTCAACCCTAATGATGATGATGATGATATAATAATAATAATAATAATAATAATAATAATAATAATAATAACAGCAACAACAACAACAATAACAATAATAAAGTAATATTTAGAAATAATTATTATTTAATTATTTATTTATGTATTATTCGATTATCCATTTAATTATTTTGTTATCAATAATTATTTATTTTATTATTAATTGAATTATTTAATAATTTATTATTTTAATTAATTAATTTAAAATACATAATTGTTAATTATTAATTAATTTATGTAATTATTTATTTAAATATTTTTTTAATTAATTAATAATTGTTCAATTTTTTAAAAATATTTAATTATTTATAAGTTTTTATCAGTTCAATTATTTATAAATTTTTTTACATTCATTTTATTAATTATTATTTAGTTTGTTAAATAATTAAACAAACTTTCCCATGTCTAAGGTTAAAATGGTCAATTGTCATTTTTTTCAAAACTCACCATTTAAATTTCTGAACAACATTCAAATTTCATAACTAAGAGAAGTTTACAAACTCCAACATAACTTTTAAAGTAATTATTACAATTTTAAAGCCATTCAAATGTCAGATTTCAATGCAAACAAACATGCCCTTAGATTTGGATTTTATCTTGTTTGTTTTTGATAAGTAAACATATAAGATAATATTGGTTAAAAATACTTGTTTCATCAATATATTGTCTCATAGGTAAATATAGAAGACAAGCAGGATCGGTCAGACCCAATTATTCTGATTAAATAAATTGTTTGATTCTGATCTGTTTATAGAATATATCAATTAATAATTGGTTTGGAACTGGTCCAAACCAGACCTGGCCCATGGACAGCACTTATGAAGTTCAATCATTACTTAATGTTAACTGCAAGACACTGTTATTTTTCCCTATTTTGTTTCTAACTTGAGAACAGGGTAGAGCCTGTAGGCTGTGTTTGGTTTGAAGGAAAGTTAAAGATTTTTGTGAGATATCAAAAACATTCCCTCAACTTCATGCTTTTCTTTTATTTGGCTGATCTACATCTGATGTAATATCATATGTTTAACAGCAGACTGTGTTGATCAACCAAAAATGTTAAAAACAATGGCACCAAACATAACCTAAAAGAAGAGTGATTTTTGTTTAATCATGTCAAAGGGATGCCTAAGAGCCCATTCAGCACAGACATGAGCTAATCCGTTAGAAGAACGAGGGCTGAAGCGAAAAACCACATGCTGGAAATGACAACGATGCTGAGAGATGGAGCGCAAAACAGCACCTCTGGGTGAGAAATGTGTTTTGTGGTGCAATTCACAGTAGGTAGAGAGTGGGTAGGAAAAGTGAGTAGGAAATCATGTTTGTGCGTTTTCATTCTTCTTAAAACATGGGGTAAGGCTTTGATGTTGATTTGGGCCACACCTAATTCTAGCTTTCTATTCTTTTTTTTTATTTGTTTGTTTCATTATTCTGCTCTAATTAAGGCTGTGTTTGGAAACGATACAAATAAGTGTGAGTGCAAATATGTAGAGTGTAAAACGGTTCATATAAATTGTAAAGTTGGGTTAATTTTGCACTGACAAATTTACCTTCTTACCAAACAGACTTTTAACTATAATGGATGCAAACACGAATTTCAATAAAACATGCCTTTTTTATCAAAAGCTACTTGAATGCAAATTTACTCTTTTTTTATTGATGTATTTATACATCTTATTATCAATGTAAATATGCATTGGAAAATGTGTTTTATATCATTTGTCAATGCAAAAATGTAATGTTGCCAAATACAGGCAAAAGTGAACCAGAGCGCAAATTCACCCTGAACCGGGATTTACACTCCATTTGCATCGTTTCTAAGCGCAGCCTAAACTGCAATTTGGCCTGAGCTAGATCGGTCTAAGGCTATCCCTATGTAAAGTTTTAAACTACAATGACTGTTTAGATTGTGGGTTGGGTTTAGCCTAGGACAAAAGTGGCCCAAGTCATTGTCTTCAAATGCAGTGCGATCGAGGGGTTATGGGCCCAAGTACTTACCAGAAGATGAAATTGATTAAAAACTCAGAGAACAACAAACAAGTACATACCTTAGACTCTCCTGAACCAAGCAGAATATTAGGAACAAGGGTGCTGAAGTATTGAAAACACTGATGATGAGCTAAAGGAAAGACTGAAATGAACAAGACAATAATTAAGCTAGTTATTCCACCATTTCACTTCACAGTTAAACACAGTATGTAGCACATACACGACATATTTATCTAGAATGACAAGCCAGAGCCGTGAAACTTCTGTTCAGTGATGCGATCTATGTGCTCTACCATTTCGGCAGTTAGATGGTTCTCCCAGTCTCCAACTTGGCCTTTTCTATAGAAGGCACTGTTTTCCACCCCCAGATTGCCCACCTTCTCTGGATTCTTGTTCACATCCAAACTGCTCAAATTCTCGAAACTACAAAGGTTCAATATTTTTTCCACCACCCCTTGTTCCTCCTCCTCCAAGGAGAAGGGATACCCCAGGTGTTCAGCCAATTTCTTCAAACAAGAAAATGGGTTGCCTTTAAGACCCTCGTATTTTAGAAAGAGTATCCTCTCAGGCCACTCTAAGCTTGCTTTCCAATATCCCAACACTTGGTCCCAATAGGGTCCATATGGGGAAGCTCCTTTGCAGAACAACTGAAATGCCTCCTCAAGTGGGAGTAGTGGATGGTCCTTGTTGAGCTTCGCTTGTAACTTATTTGCAAAGAACCAGAAGGAAATAAGTACATCTTTTGGGTTACGGCAGATGTGGATGATTCGACAATTGGAGGCTGTTATTGATTCTGGTAGAGATGAATAGGGGATGTGGGTTGAGAAGAGGCGAGGTGATGGAAGAACATCAGGGTTGGGGATTGGGGTGGTGCGGTAGAGATTGGTTTCTAAGGTGGGAACACAGTCATGAGGATTATGAATAAGCAAAGGGTGTGTAGTAAAATCATAGTTGGTGCGGTTGATGATGGCAAAAATGAGGGCCTTAGTCCATGTGGTGCCTGATTTCGGAGTGGAGGTTAAGAGAATATCAGTGGGTCGAGCCTTGAAGTGTTGTTGAACGGCCATGGCTCCTTGTAGTGAAATAGTGGAGACGTACCAAAAACCTTGGTAGAGAACTAGGCTTTCAGAGATCCAGCCTTTCTCATTTGGAAGGGATGAAATGAGATCTCTGTATCCTTGATACACTCTTTCATCATCTGCTACATCTTCTTTTGATTTGGTTGGAAAGCATTTCTTGGAAGGAGGGGAAAACTCCATGGTCGATGGTCGACTATAGTTTTGGTTGGTGTGTTGATGAAATGAGGGACCTTCACCAGCGCATATCTTATATATATTTACTCACATGATGCTCTTTTGGCCGCTCACTCTTCACATATACATGTGAACCTTTTCTGTTAAATGACAAAGCAATTAATTTCTGTTAAGAAAATCACCAAAAATAGAATTAATTTCTCCAACTTCCCCCAGGTGAAATCCACTCCGTTGTCTTCTTCAATTCAAATGCTTTTATTATCAACACAATCCCTTAAATTAATGCAGCTGATTCAACCATAACCCTCTCAATTAATTGTCTTTAAGTTCTACATTTCTCTCTCATCCACGTTTCCCCTTCGCTGAAACCCACTCCATTGTCTTCTTCAAATGCTTTTATTATCAAATCGTCCATTCTATTGTTACCCAATAAAAGCCAAAGCAGACCTTAATAAAGCTGATCCAATCATATCCTTCTCAATTAATTGCCTTGAGTTTAACATTTTTCTCTCATCCCAACGTTTCCTAGAGCGCATCGGGTGGACCCTCCGGTCCACCTTCCACCAATTACATGGGCCCTCCAATCATGTTCTGTCGAGATCAAATCAGTCTTCACATCGTCTCATAGCACAGCCTCGCCGTGTATTCGTTGTCATCATTCTGGTTTAATTTTGCTTCAGATTTGGCCGTCTGTTATGTTTGTGAGAAGTTAACATAGGTAATTATAGATGTTACCAAAAGCCAAGTGCCAATTGTTATATCATAGGTAATTATAGATGTCAAGTATAACCGGAACGGTTTAATTGGGTTAGACTCAAACGTTGGATTAATTTAGAGCTATAAATCGGGCCATTCTGCCTGCGGTCCGATATGGCATGATGATATGCGAGTCGTGCTGGGTTTGGGGTTTCAGGTCCATGGGTTGGCACAGCATGGCACGACTGTGCATGCCATACTACGCTCGATCCGCCCGATGAACTATTCGTTGGGGTCCCCAATTAGGGCCGAACATTTGATTTATTCAGTTAAAAACCAAATTGAATAAATCGAAATTTTAAAAACTGAATTAAAAAAATGAAAATTGAACTGAAATCAAAATTTTTTGTTCAGTTTTTGGTTAAAACCGAATTTCAAAAATATATATACTATATTATATATTATATGTCGTAACATATAATATATAAATATATATTATGAAATCAAATTTTATTATATTATATACTAATATATGTAAATATATTATATATTACATGCCATATAGCAAAGTTCAGTTAATTCACTTTTTTCAGTTAACCGAATTTCTAATTCTAAAAACCGATTCACCGGTTGGAACATCCTAGCCCACGTGTTACCAAGCATGTTATCTATCATCATCACTCACCATTCAGTAGTAAAGATCTTACTTTTTGTCATGCTTGTCCTTTAGGCAAGAGACACACTTTCGTTTTTTCCTAGTCATGCAATAGCTAAAGCACCTTTGAAAATTATTTATTCTGATATTTGGGGACCTACCCCTTGTCCCTCAGTTGAAGGCTTTTGTTACTATTTACATTTTATTGATGGTTTCAGCAATTTTGTATGGATTTTTCCTATGAAGTCTAAATCTGAAGTTCCCTCTTTATTTGTTGCTTTCAAGATCAATGTTGTAAATTTATTCAATACTAAAATCAAGATCTTTCAAACTGATGGCAGTTCTGAGTATAACCCTTTGCGTCCTTTATTTGTGGACACTGGTATTTCACACCGTAAATCATGCCCTTACATTCATCAGCAGAATGGAGCAGCTGAACGTAAATATCATCATATCGTTGAAACCGGTCTGATATTGATGATGAATGCTAGTATGCCCAAATACAGGTGGTTTGATGTCTCTGATGCTGCGGTCTTTCTCATTAACCACATTCCCTCACCAGTTCTTCATATGCTATCTTCTTGGCAGAAACTTTATGGTACGCTTCCTGATTATAGCTTCTTAGGGTTTTTGGATGTGCTTGTTACCCGCACTTACGGCCTTATGCTCATGACAAGCTAGACCCCCACTCCATTCGATGTGTGTTTATTGGATATAGTAGACATCACGAAGGCTACAAGTGCTTGAATCTGAAAACTAATAGGGTTTACATTTCCCGTAATGTGATTTTTGATTAACACTCTTTCCCTTATGCTGAGCAGGCTTCTTCTACTGATACTACATATAATACTCGTCCACCTGGACCTTTTTTGGCTATAGGGGCACCTCCGGTGCTGTATCCATGCAGTAATGGGTTTAACTCTTCATCTTTCGACCCAACAGGCCCATCGGCACCTCTGCCTACAAATGCTGGTCCGTCTGCTTCTAGCTTGGGCCCCATTGATGCTCCTTTTATTACATCTAATAGTGGGCCAGGTACTTCTGATTTGGGTCCCTCTTCATCAGCACCTCTCCGATCTAGTTCACCCGCTGGGTCTTCCTCTACTACTAATGTGATTGCAGAACCATCACCCACCTGTGCATCAACTCATCCTATGGTAACTCGCGCCAAGAAAGGGGTCTTTTGGCCCAATCCTCGGTATGCCCTCACTGTCAGTCCACTTTGTGAAACTGAACCCACATATTATACACAAGCTTCTAAAGACCCCAAGTGGGTTCTTGCCATTGCCGATGAGTTCAAAGCTCTTCTCAGTCACAACACTTGGACTTTGGTTCCACCACCCCCAGGTAAGATATTGTTGGCAATCGCTGGGGTTTACAAGATCAAGCGCAAATTTGACAGGTCTGTTGAGTGCTTCAAGGCCCGTCTTATTGCAAAAGGATACACTCAAGAAGCGGGCCTAGATTATGATGAGACTTTTAATCCCGTAACTAAACCTATTACTATCAAGACTATTCTTTCTCTTGCTGTTTCCTACCATTGGCCCATTCATCAACTTACGTCAATAATGCCTTTCTCAATGGCCTCTTACATGAAGAAGTTTATATGAAACAGCCAGTGGGCTTTATTCACCCTCGTCATCCATCATATGTGTGCAAGTTGAACCGCTCATTGTATGGGTTAAAGCAAGCTTCTCGTGTGTGGTTCACACGGTTACAAGACTACCTATTGCCCTTGGGCTTTCATGACTCCCGGGCTGATACTTCTCTTTTCTTCAAGCATGACAAAGGTGACTGATGGAGCGCAATCCGGCCGGTCCTACCTGTCAACGACCTTGCCTTTGACTGGAGCTACAGGGAGCCTGAAACGGAAGAGATGAGGAACCTCCGGGAGGAACCCGATGAGATTTCTCCGAATCTCAAGTTAGTATTCTCTCAAAGGCAAGATAAAACCATATGGCGCAAAGTTCACATACCTTGTTCTTGGGGGGTAGGGAGTCTTTTATACCACTTCGCGCACTCACTCCTAAGCTTCTGTCAAGTCGGGTATGATTGTTTCTGCGCTCCTGCCAGTTCGGGTGTCATCACCTCTGCTGTGGCAAAACCGCCACTGCTCTTTTTGTCGGAGCCGTCTCTACAACTAGAGATGGCGGTGGCAGGTGGCCGTTGAAGTGTGACTGTCAAGTGTCAGATCCCGAGTCAGTCAGGTGCGCCGTCCCTGGATACGGACTTCCTCGGTGTTAGGCATGGTACGTTTGTTCAGTCCGGCGTCCTGGAGGTGAAGTGTTGGAGTGGTGAGCGAAGTGAAGTCTTGAGTTCGGATAGAGGCGTGTCCCGAACTGCCAGTTCGGGTTATTGCCCTTTGTGTTTGCAAGGCTCGGGGCCTAAGGGAGAGCTCGGGCTCCTTGCGGGGAGTTCGGGCTCCTTGTAGGGAGTTCGGACCGCTGGTTCCTCCTTTCGGAGCTCGCGCCTCGGGCGTGCTGTTGTCCCGAACTGTTGCCTTTGCCACGTGTTGAGTGATTACGCAGTCAAGCTAAATCTTCCTATATCAATTGCCCCCCACTCCTCGCGCTAAGGGACTTGCCCTGGCGCGGGGAGTTTGCGAGGTGGCGGGTGGATTTGTCTCGTACTTCGAACGGGTTTTGACTGATAGTGCGAAGTGTGCGCTTGTCAGGACTTTTCCGGGTTTCTCGAGCGCCAAAAAGACGGGAAACGCGCCAATCTGTCTATGACCGCTGACGGACGTGACGACGCGCGTTTATTTTCAAAATTCAAAAAGCGCGCCACGGGGGGACGTGACAGCGGGCATCTTTTCAAATTTGAAAAAACGCGCCGCTGCCGCCTTTAATGTGAGAAGACGTGCGCTGGCGCTTTCAGTTTCAGAAAGACGTGTGGCCAATCACGTCCCGGTCTCAGGAGACGTGCGGCCAGTCACGTCTCAATCTCTGGAGACGTGCGGTCAGCGTGACTGTGGGCCGTTGGATTTGTCTTTGCTCTGGGTCGTTGATCCTCGGTCACTGTGGGTATAAATAATGGGGGACCTCAGTCGCTGTCACTATCCTACGTTTTGCTTCTTGAGCTCGTGTCCCAGTTTCAACTCGCGTCCAAGCTTTCTAGCTCGCGTTCACGTTCCCGTAGTCCGTTTTCTTTTTTCCAGGTGAGTACCTTTTTATAACCCTTATTCTCCTTCCAATGTCTAGCTCGGATAGCTCAGACAGTTCTTCAAGGGAGTCGGATGCAGGTTCTACGAACCGAGCCGCATCCCCTGACAGTTCTAGTGAACCTGAAATAGAACTCGAGGAAGAGTTCGAACCCATAGGCCGAGCCGCCTCGGGTAGTTTGGCGTCCTCTCGTCGAGGTCGGACGTTGGACAAGTTTAGGCCTTCGACCATGACTCTTGAAGGGCTTCATTCTCTTATCACCCAGTTCAACTTTCCTAGGGAGTACACATACTTCATACCTTCGGGCAATTTCCCTTGGGAACACGGTCCTGATGAGATCGTGATATTCCGGGAGCAGCTCGTCGCAGGGTTGCGCCTTCCTTTCCACCCCCTCATTGTCGAGGTGATGAACCACTTCGGTGTTACAGTCGGCCAGCTTCACCCGAACTCCATTCGCAACCTGGTGGGGACAATCTCCCTATTTTACGAACAGG